AAAAGGTTATCGGAGTTGCTATGTGTCGTTTTATCGGATATTTCTATATATAAGTTGTCTCCGGAATGAACTAGGTATGGAGTATTTAATGTAGCCTTTATCCAGTCTTTCTAAAGTCTAGTATGTACAGGGGAATGGCGTGTGCCTACCTATACAAGGCTATTGACTACTTGACTTACAAAATTTGGAGATTCTGATATGTAGTTATGCTGATTAAATGTTCTAGATTAGCAAAACTGTGCTTTAAACAAGGTAACTTGAGCCAGTATTCATGTTAGCACTCAATAGTCTCTGTCCACGACCCCTATTGCATGCCCCTCTAACACGCGTTTTTCATTTCCAGTAACCGTTCAAGGAACTCCTCGAGCTTATGTTCGTTATTTCGTGAGCAGCCTTGTGCATAACAAAATAATGGCAGTACCTAGTCGTGCCCGAGTTTATGCCGATGTTAATTCGCACAAACCACGAGAATATTGGGACTACGAAAGCTACGTTGTTGACTGGGGCCAACAGGACGATTACCAGTTGGTCAGGAAATTAGGAAGAGGAAAATATAGCGAAGTTTTCGAAGCCGTCAATGTTACGAACAATGAAAAATGTGTAGTCAAAATATTAAAGGTTAGTAAAATTCACAATACAATCGGTCGCGTTAGAATTTAATAAAAAATTAAGAACCCGTGTTGCGTTCTGTTTTTGCGTAATTATCGAGACGTTATTTTTTGTTCTAAAAGGTGGTGTTTAATTTCAGCCAGTGAAAAAGAAGAAAATAAAACGAGAAATAAAGATATTAGAAAATTTACGTGGAGGTACAAATATTATAACTCTTGAAGCTGTTGTTAAAGATCCGGTATCAAGAACACCAGCACTTATTTTTGAACACGTCAATAACACCGATTTCAAGCAGCTTTACCAAACGCTTACAGACTTCGATATTCGTTATTATTTATATGAGTTGCTCAAAGCTTTGGATTACTGTCACAGTATGGGTATTATGCATAGGTAAATTTTGTTTAAAAATATCTCTTGCTTTGGCTATATGAACGATTTATTTAGGGATGTTAAACCACATAATGTTATGATTGATCATGAAAATAGAAAGTTAAGGCTAATTGATTGGGGTTTAGCAGAATTTTATCATCCAGGACAAGAATACAATGTAAGAGTCGCTTCTAGGTACTTTAAAGGACCTGAACTGCTTGTAGACTATCAGATGTATGATTATTCATTAGATATGTGGTCATTGGGATGTATGTTAGCTTCAATGATATTTAGAAAAGAGCCTTTCTTTCATGGCCATGATAATTACGACCAATTAGTCCGTATTGCCAAAGTCCTAGGAACTGAAGAGCTTTTCGAATACCTTGATAAATACCACATAGAACTAGACCCAAGATTTAATGACATTTTAGGAAGGTTTGTATTTTTCACATCCAACTTTCAATTTATTTTTTCATTTTTAATTATTTTAACAGACATTCCCGTAAGAGGTGGGAGCGATTCGTGCATAATGAAAACCAACACCTAGTTTCGGCGGAAGCGTTAGACTTTTTGGATAAACTATTGCGTTACGATCATCTAGAGCGTCTCACTGCACGTGATGCCATGGATCACTCCTATTTCTGTAAGTATAAAAATGTGGCATTTTTAGCAAATTAGAAACATGAGACTGCTCAACTTTCATATACTTCTAGCAACTCTTTTGTGAACTTTGTCTTTGAATTCAGATAAAATTGAACTTGTTTACTTTATTTTGTCATAAACGTAATTATAAATAAATTTATTTAGCATAGTTTCGTATCGGGCAAATCGATATTAACATGTCTGATAACGTGACACATTTTTATTGCTTAATTCGATTTAAGTGTTCTAGGTACGAAAATTGATAATGAATGTTTGAATTTATAAACTGCTAAGTCATTTTTGTCATTTATTTCGATTTTTTTACATTTTGGATATCAATGTTTATATACAGTGTGTCAGTTTTAAAAGTTACAATCGGCAATACTTCTAAAACTGAATAAGTTATTGAGAATCACTCAAAACCGTTTCGGTGGTTCTAAGGGGGAATCAAAATGACATGGTAAGTGACGTACTTCCATCCACCCACCCTTGATTCTAATAAAAAAAAAATAAAATTGAAAGTCTTCGTTTTTAAATAATTGGAAAACGGTTTTACCAAATAGGCTGCTGTATGACATTATTGAAAAGCCCTTGTTATGAGTTTTCCACGTAGCCTAGTGTAATTTAAAATTTTCAACTTGGGGTGGCTATGGCTTCAAGGGTGAGTGGAGGTTCGTCACTTACCATGTTGATTCTCCCTAGGAACTACCGAAACGATTTTGAGTGATGCTCAATAAGTTTTTCAGTTTTAGAGGTATTGCCGGTTGCAACTTTTAAAATTGATACCCTGTTTGCATAGTTTAATAAAGTTCTTATTTTTTTAGTTTTGTAGGATAAAATTGAGAAAGTTTATATAATTACATTTCCACATTTATATTTATGTCGAGAAAACTACTGGCAGTGTGCCACAGCCGCGTTATAGTGTAAAATTTTTCACTGTTTCTAATGAATTTATTTGTTTCAGACCCTGTTGTTAAGGAACAGTGCCGCATGATGTCAACAGTATCTTCATCCCCTACTCCACTTACAGGCAATCTGTCTGTTGTAGGAGTAGGTGAGTAGCTACCAGGTAAAGCACTTTGTCATTTCACATCATGTCACAATTGCCATACCCTGTTGTAATTAGTCACTTTACATTTTAATTCATATTTCGATGCTATATTGTATAACGCAATTTTTCTGAATATGTTTTCAAGTTTTATGTATTAATTAAACAATTCTTTTGTATCATATTGTTAAAAATGCTGTAATTCCGTGTAAGTTATTATTATGTTCACATAGAATTAGTAGCCGAATTATATATATTTTTAAATTATACTACTAATTCTCTGTTATATTCATTCAATTACTTTATGGATTTAATTGAATTAATTTTCTTTAGTTTTCTTTTTATGTGTATACTTTGGAATGATAACTACCTGTTATTGTACAAAATATTTGACTCTGATTAAAACTTGCTGTTGTATATTGTTTTTGAACTTGACCAGTCAACAGCTTATTATCATGAGACTGTTTTAAGCTCTCTCTGAGGCTAGATACCGTAATTTTTGCATCACCTGTATCAAACTTTGTGGGTGAAGTGTGTGTATGTATATTTTTTTTACATAGAGCTAGAGAAAAAAGTGTTCAACTTATTTTTATATTGCGTTCTAGAGGGTGTTGTTACTAATTTTGAAAGTTTTTTCGTTAAAGCAAATTTAGAACTAAGACCTCTTGGAGATGTTTAAAACAAATGTCACATTGTAATGAAATAGTTTCTTATACGCTGATTATTTAATTGAAAAATTCATTGTCGATTTACATTTTTTTCATTGTAATTGTTTTGCAATAAACTGTATAAATAATCTTGACTTAAATTTATTAATTTCGATTTCCTTTACCTTTTGAGCTGTTGAGTGAGGCAAAGACTAGTCACTAGATTTTTTTGATTTGTTAATTTAATTATTGTTGCCGATTTTGACCCCCATTCGTATTGCAGATGAACCGGCGTCACCCGTTGGATCACCGTCGGATATTCCTGGTTCTCCTAAGCTTATTTCAATGCGTTCATCTGCTTTCTTTACTAACCTTGACTCTTCTACAACTCCTACACCTACGTGAATTCAGAAATCCCAAGTCAAAACCAAGAGTACCGCGTTTTAGTTACACTTTTCAGAACGTTTGTTGAGTTAGAGTGCAGTGCAAATTTTGGGAATATATCAAACACAGTTTAATTTGGGTGTTACCTTTGTATCGCAAGATTTTACACTTCACTCTTTCGGACCCTAGGGGTGTTTATAAATATTCATTTTCGAGAATTTAAAAATGTGCATATTGTAAAGTTTTATAGTATGTTGTTGATTCATCTGTGATTATAGTAGCAATTATATGTTTATTGATTGTAATTCATCTTTTTTCATTGTATGCTTAACTCCAGTAGAAATTCTGATGCTTTATGATCCACGATTGCCTAAGTTTGAGATTAGTTACATTAACTTTAGATTGTTAACTAATTGTTCTACAATAAAATATTTAACGAAAATTAATGTGGAGTAATTTTATTTTAATTATGTATTTTACAATTTGCACAATTTGGTCGATTTTCTCTTAGGTTTTCAACAATCAAATTCTAAATATATCTGTTTTATAGAGCGCTTATCTAAATATAAGAGTTACTCAACTAGCTTGATAAGCTCATTTTCTTTTTACTTTAACCATTCTCACGTATCACGACGTATTTAGTTCAATTGTGTTCCTAATTCACATATACATTTCTAATTTTTTTCAATGTAGTTTTTCTTTACATTTTTTATTAATTAATTAAAAATGTATACATCAATTTTCATATTACTAACATAAGTTGATGAAATAGAAATATCAAAATTCGAAGTACCATTACAAAATGTGTATATTGTAAAGTTTTACAAAATGTGTTACTGATTAATCTGTGATTATAGTAGCAATTTAAAATGACTTTTACATTTTTTTACACAAAGTTGTAAAACTTATTTTATACCATCTTCGGTTCCCTAATATATAGCATAGTAAATTTTAGTGAAATCAATTCAAATAAATTTGAAGCTTTACAAATATCATTCCAACTTTCTCGGGCCACTATGAATATCATGCTATAAATTAGGCATCTGCAGACTTAGTTTTCTTAATAACCGGATATTTCTGTTTGTAAATATTTTGTAATGTAATATATTAGTGGATTACATATGTGTACATTGAAAACTGTTTTATTTGGGATCCTTGATAATTAAGAAAATATGATTTTTTCCTAGTCACACCCCTAGTTGCTTGGCAACAAATAAACATCGCGTATTGTATTAACAGGGTGTTATTGACAGACAACTGATTGGAGCAGGTAATGTGTTAGTTGATTTCATTTGATATGAAAAATTTGCCTAGTTACCAAGCATATGTTGCGTGTGAACTTCGCGTGTTGTGACGCCGACTGTTGGATAGAAAAACGTCTAATCAATCATATATTCGGATTGATTTCTTTGGTGAATAGAAAGAAAAAAGTCGCATAGGTAAAAGAGTCGAAACACAAAAGAATTCCCGTAGAAAAATCAATAGTTAGAAACTAACAAACTGAATCGATTCAATCTATAATGAGAATAAGCAGTTTTGTAACTGGTCAATAGAACGAATTACACAGCGTAATATCGTTAGATTGACGCCTTGCACCTCACGCTACCACCCCTTTATTTACAGTATTAGCTGCAATTCGCAATTTTGCTCATGTTTGACCCAGATTTAACGTAAAATACATATCTATCTATGATCTGTCTGAAGATTTAGGCCATTAAATCGAAAAAAAAACTTTAATTTTTCCAAGCTATAGTTACCTAGGTAACAAACATTTAGTGAAACATACAATAGAATAAAATATTGTATTGACATTTGTAAACACTAATAATTTAACGATAAAAATTTCGATATGTTAAGATAAGAATTTAATTATTTAAACACAGCGATAAATGTAATCAATACATTAACTATTTTAATAATAAAGCTATTTATCTAACTATCTTGTTATATGGATCCAAAATTGTGATATTAATTTTTATTTCAGTGTTTTTTTTTTGTCATGTTGGTAGCAGTATTATAATTATGTTGTTATTGAATACAATAATTTTTGTAATTAAGGTATATCTTTTTAATTAAGTTTGCGGTCTATGATTTTTTTAATCAAGTTTGCAATAATGATATCGTAAAGACAAAATTTAATGTAATTGTTAAATTTATATCTTCTTTCTCTATTTTATTTAATGTTGCGAACTTTATAGTCCACCTCTGATCAGAAACTTAAATGAACACTAATTGTGTTAAAAAAATTCACTATAATTTCTGTATACACTTTGTATTCAAAATGGTGCATGAGCTTTTCAGTACGCTAAAAGATAATCAATTTTTTTTTCAACCATTCTTACAAGTAAAGTTGAGAATTATTTTTATTTCTTATTTTTTTTTAATCGGCGATATATCCTGAAAAAGACCAAAAGTCTGTTCTCTTTCACATCAATGAAACTGAAAATTATTGGTAGGACTCGTCAAAATTAAATTTTAAAAGTTATAGTTTTTGCACTATCAAAAAAACCGAAAAATTGATTGATTGGCAATGTAGTTAAAAATAAAATTTTAAATAATGGTACTAAGAGCTTATGCGTCATTTGGTATACACTTGTATGTATTTTTTCAGAAGTATTGATAATGTCTACATATATCAAAGCTCAAGTTCAAGTAACATAAACTGTCACTTTTCACAGATAATTATTTTGTTTTTTCTCTTTTAAAAAGTGAGTTTCCTTGGCACTAAATTTCTAACTAAGGTTGTGGTAACACCTTTTTACATATAGGACACACTTGAAGAACAGGTCGAAATGCCTTGAAATTTTTTAACTTTTTTTATTATACTGGTACTTTAAAAAGAAAACAACAATTATTATTGAAATATATTTTAATATATTTAATAAATATACAGTGCGATCAAAAAGTCTTTCTATCAAGTAGGCGTACGAGTTGAGGACGTATGTCGCAGTTCGTATGTTAGCTAGATGTCAAAAAATTATTTTGTTAAAATTAAAATACTGATCTAAGCAAATTGAATGATTCCATGAAACGTTTCAAAAAATCCTAAAATGAGATGTTGGCTTTTATTCCTACAAATCGTTCTTCACGTATTCTGTCATAATTTACATAAAAATTATTTTGCCATTTTTCATTGTGACATTTTATTTTTTGCAGACATACGATTTAAATTTCTACGCTTGCGTAATAGACAGACTTTTTGATCGCACTGTAGAAGCGATAGATTTCATATTATTCTGTTCTGAACAGGTTTTACTAGGTTGGCATGAATGTAATGTTTTTAGGTATAGATCATGGACCTAGTATAGTAGTAAATACTACCTCCTTGGTATAGATTAAAGGACTCACTTGGCATTTATTGCTTTTAAAGTAAGTTAGATGTAAAAAGTAAAAGGAGGACTGGTTTTCAAATTGCAAAAATTGAGAATTATTTTTGTGTTCCCAATTGGCCGCAACTATATTTTTACAGAAGAAACGTCTCTCTCTTTTACCAATTTAATTTGTTTTTGGGAAGCAAAAACGTAATCCAATGTCTCTTATCTTACTCTATAAATCGCAGAGAAGATTATCTTTTTTGCAATCAGCGTCGCTCAATATTCTTTTGCATGAAACGATATATCCTTCCAATAAAGTTGGAATTTTTTCAATGTCCTCTTTTACGTTTTTTTTTTTTTTAAAGAAGGGAGCTGTAAACTCTAGCTGTTATAAAATTGACGCCATAGTGATTTTGCTTTTTGAAGTCTTTCAGTTTGATTAAGGGCAGAGGAAATTTCTTGAGATGGCTTCAGGAGTTTCCGGGTTAAGCATGCGCGGGGGGCTGTTAGTTATGAAAAGCGTTTCGCTTTTTCTGGCGGGCAACCGGAGTAGTAAAGGAAGTAGCGCCCAACCGGCCGGAAAACCAGCAAAACCCCGTCGAAAAAAAATGTCGGAGCAAGATATTGCTTACCGGTGTTCGATGAAGATCTTAGAAGCGGCTAAACGCGACACGCTTTTTACAAGGTACCACGCAATTCCGGGTTAATTCCGAGAGCTTTTAACGCGCGAGTTTTAGGGGCGAAATCGAAGCGCTTTATAAAATTTTCCGGAAGTTGGTTACAATGAATAAAACCAAGTCGAGTCAAGGGAAAATGAAAACCAACGCAAATCCGAGCTCAATTATTGGAAAACCTGCGAACGTGCAAGAAGTACGATGTGTTGTCGAGTGGAGTTTTATTACTCTGGTGTTTTCAGGGAATCGATCGAATTGTTTTCAGGGAGATTTTGCACAACACATTTGATATTGTTGCAGAAAATATGCTAATGGACCGGATTTTTTGCGTCTGGGATAAAGCCAATTATGGACTTATCACCCTCGAGGCTTGGCTTCATGGATTATCCTTGTTATTAAGAGGGTCCACGATTAAACAAATCGAATTCTGTTTCGCGGTTTATGACTTGAATGCTGACGGGTTTATTACAAAAGACGAAATGTTTCAACTTTTACGGTAAGAACGAAACAATGACATTGTTATTATTTATTGATTTGTATTGGTAATTACAATTAATTATAATGTTGATTATCTTGATTTGTTAATATCCATTAAGTTTTTATTGCGTTTCAATGTAAAATATATGTGCGCAAATTGAACGCATTAAAAGAGAAAGTAGGACAATTTTTTTATTTTTTAGGAATTGTCTAATAAAACATCCACAGGAAGAAGATCCCGATGAGGCTATCAAGGACTTAGTTGACATCGTAATGAGAAAAATGGATAAAGATAAAGACGGTAAAGTATCACTTGAAGATTTTCAAGCAACGGTAACAGAAGAACCGTTACTTTTGGAAGCTTTTGGAAAATGTTTACCGTCAGAAAGATCAAAAAATACATTTTTGTCCACCCTGAAAGCGTAGTTGTTGAATAAAAAATGCAAAAGTGAACCGAGTCTCATTTACTCAAATTTAAATATTCCCGCCCGATTTTACTATAATAAATAACCTGAAAGTTAGTATTTACATATAGTGAGGCTCCCTATTTTATGGTATTTATGACAATAGAGTAGGTAGAGCTTTGCATTACAATTTGAGAAAGCGTTTAAGAGTGACTTCAGGTGTCGTGCTAACAACTCATGTGAGTCTGTAATTATAGTACTTTGTTCAAAAAATCTTTTTATGAAATTATGTGCCGGAAACGTTTAACGGAACACGCTGTATATCGAAGTTAAATTACCCATCTTTGCGGAAATTATAGTTGTCAGAATAACAAAATGCAATTTCTGTCATGAATTTAAAATTCCGTGTGTTTAAGAATCCACGAAACGATTACTTAATGATATGAAAAATCAATATTAAATTTTTAGATAAGGAGTGTGTCTGTATAAACCTAAAAATGGGAAGAATCTTGGCGAAAGAATGTGAGATAAATTACAATAGGCACGCACGAATTCAGACCGAATAAATAATCTCTGATAAAGTAGTGGGTGACAATTGGATTTAACATTTGTTTATTTTATTGCATGATAAGAGAACGAAAATTTGTCCGAATGTTTGGTTCTTTTCGTTAAGATTTGTGCATAATTTTTATTGCGCTTTTACGGCTTCACTAATCGCGTTCATATATAAAATATGAAATTATAAACCAACACACACGCTGCTGAGTAGACTAGCCAGCAGGTTTCAGTTGGTGTTTTAACCAACAGACGTTGAACGTGCTCTGCTGAAACGCGAGACATGGTGGAGGTACACACCAAATCAAAAATGGATTTAAATGGAAGCAGTGCCTCTGGGACACGACCCATGTAAGTAAAATAGTTTTTCAGTTTTATTTTTTCTGTATTATTAAATCATAAATTTTGCTTGTCTAAACTATTAGTCATTAAATGTACATTAGATATGATAGGCATCTAGGAGGGTCATTAACTACTTGATGCGTTTTTACAATTAACTGCAAATTTATTTAATTGGTCAAAAATTAAAGTCGAGATAAAAATTGGAAATAGGTTTTCCGTGCTAGAATGCGAAACCTTGACATCGTGTGCATCCAGTTCTTATTACGTATTGCGTAACATCTTATGGTCTTTTATTGTTCCATTGAATAGAGTACGGATATTAAATGTCTTGGTATTATTTTTTATAGCAATATGAAAGTATAGTCAGTGTAGAGTAATTTCAACAACCGATTGGGCAAAAGTATTGGTAAATTCACTAAACCAGTTTGATTTTGCATCTAGAGAATGTTGAGGTATTACAAAATTATTGTGAGTGGAAAAGTAACAATTTGGTCAAAATGTGAATGTGCTTTGTTTATTTATCGAGTGAAGACACTGTTGTGTTACAATAATCCTAAGACAAATTTACCTACTCATCTTAAAGAGTCAACAACGATTTTATAGCTGTGAGACATTGTTTACTAGGAAAATACAATTTTTAATAGCTCTCGTCACAGTAGCAATAATAACAGTTTTTCAATATGACACTTATTATTCGTTTGTTTTGATGGACTTTATTTCTACATATTTATTTTAGTAATGCTTATTAATTATTCATTCACTTAATAATTATACTCGTGAAAATTAATTACATATGTAATTCATTTCATTCGATTTTTATTCCGTAATTCAGAATGGCAAGCTTATAGACTTTGGAAATAATAAATTAATTTTAATTCGAGCTCAGACTAATTAGCTGTTTTGTAACAAAGGAACAATGCTGTTGCCTTTACTTTAGAATTAGAGGCATGTTTATAGTTATTTTAACAAAAGGAAAACTCTCATAAAAACACAAATATTTTTTTACAAAATTTATCAAAAATTGCAACAAACTGAAATCATTAATTTACACTACAAAAATTGAGGTAAGGTTACACCTCACAAAACTGACTAACCTTTACCCAAGGCTCCAGTCTCCACACCAAATTCTTTATGTGAATGATTTTATTAATGTTATGGAATTTTTTGAGAATACTTTGGACTAGGCATGTTATTGAATGCATGATAATAACCACTTACCTTTGATTAATTTTACGTGTTTATTGCAAAGCATCATTCGACCTTACAAGTTTCTGGTTTGTGATTGTGGAAGCGTAATTAATATTCTGCATATTTTTTCACTAGTGTTACTTATGATATAACTTGACAGTCATATTTCATGCAACTATGTAATAATTTGTCATTTAAATAGATATTTTCTGTTGCAGAAACAGGAGGAAAAATTTAAGCCAACAAATCTGGGATGTAGTACAATTAATTGCGGACGTATTGTTACTGTGGGTGCTAGTTTTATATAGTTTAGGAGAACGTATATATAGGTATATAGTGCCAGTACCAGAAAGGCCGGTTAAGGGGGAAATTGTTTTGGTATGTGAAGACAATTGTTTGTTTTTTTCGATAAGATAATATGTTTAGATTACTGGTACCGGCCATGGTATGGGTAAAGAACTGGCGCTTTTGTACGCCTCAAAAGGCGCTACTGTGGTCGGCTGGGACGTAAATATGAAAAGCAACGAAGAAACAATTTCGGAAATAAATGCTCGCGGTTATCCGAAAGCTTACGCTTATTAGTGAGCAACCAATTTTTGCATATGAGCGCAACCAAAAAATATATTTCTAGTTGTGACGTTTCAAACAGGGATAGCGTTTTCGAAGTCGCTAAAAAAGTACAAAGGGAAGTTGGGGATGTTTCAATTTTGATTAACAACGCTGGAATAATGCCAACACATCCGATTTTAGACCAGACGAAAGAAGAGATTGAGAAGACTTTCGCGATTAATGTTTTTGCTCATTTTTGGGTACCCTTCAAACTTTTGTCTCAATAACATTTCTGATTTAATATTTGTAGACAATTCAAGCTTTTCTTCCCACTATGAAGAAAAATAATCACGGTCATATTGTAGCTTTGTCTTCCTGTGCCGGCTTGTTCGGCCTTGAAAATTTGGTTCCTTATTGCGGTACCAAATTTGCTGTTCGTGGCATAATGGAGGCTTTACACGAGGAAATGAGACAACAAAAAAATTGTAAAATCGAGACAACTTGTGTATGTCCTTACATGGTCGATACAGGCTTGTGTAAAAAGCCGAAGGTTAGATTTGAACGGCTAATGCCACTTTTGAACCCTAGATATGCTGCAAAAGCCATTATGAAAGCGCAGCAAACTCAACAAAAATTGGTATCGATACCTGGCTATCTTGTAAATTTAAATGATTGTGTTAGGTAGCTTTTCAGTATTTTTTTTTTCTGTGATTATTTTTTTTTTATTACAGGATACTACCAGTAAAGGCCGGTTTGTACATCAAGGACTTTATCAACTCTGGTGTAGAGTCAGACTTATAATTTTTTCCTGAAGGTGGAAGAAGATTTTTTAGAAAGTAGGTACTAACGACATTGTATAAGTAGTAAACAAAATTGTCTTATTTATTTGTTCTTTTTCTACGTTTACTAATTTTTATTCATTTCTGAACAAAAATTTGAACTTCTAATTATTTTTATGGGAATAATCAAGTGACATATGTTGAATTTATTATTGTTGAAAATAGGTAAACTGATGCCAGTTGTGCTGTTAATAAAATATTTTGCAATATTTTGAATTTTTTTAATTAGTGGTTTTCTTCCTGATTCCTTATCGTAAGTGATTTTTACAAACTTAAACGACAAATGATTGCTGTTTACGCAAATATTGCATAAAAGTTTTCAATGATCATTTTAAGTAACTGAGAAGCATCTAACAATCTGTTCTGTCACCACGTAAGGTATTTAGTAAAATTGCCTTAAAATAATTTAGAAAAATTTCGTCATTTTCATCACGTTTCAGTTAGAAACCTTGAACGAAAATATAATTTTATTTTTAATGATACCAGCAGGAATGACATCATCCGGTCTTGTGTAATTGCTGATTTTACAAAGCGAGTAAAAAAATATTCATATACTCAGATTGTAGTCAAAAAACATTAATTTTTGACAATAGAAAAAATTAATCCCGTATTTGAGTTTAAAATCACTAATAATTTTAACTAGTGTATTATTGGTTGCCTATATATATTTAGAATTTGCGTTGAAAAGTGGTAAAATGCGTTAGGTAATAAAATTTATTAACTACAATATGTGCAGTTTTGCGTTTATTATTAGTGAAGGTTACACAGTAATGTGATTTTAATTAAAAAATTGCAGCGACACTGAATATGTTGACGCTCATAAATGCACACACATATTGAAAATACAAGCAAATTTGCTTTAATATAAAGTAAAGTAAAACTAATTTTAATTGTCAACAAACGATGCAAATTATATTTGCGTCAATATCCATTTAGAGCGTCGAAAAATCCCATTTTTTATAACAGAAAAATCTGGACTAACTGCGCTTATAAATAGTAATAAACAAGTTTTTGTCAATGGCAAAAACAATGATGAGCTAATTCGCACGACCTTAACGAAAATTTTATATTGGAGTAGTTAAAATAATTTTTTATTGATTATTATTTATTTTTGACTTAAAATAATGTAATTTAATAAGATAGGTAATTGTCCGGAAAGCAATAGTTACACCTATGACATACAATTTGTTGTCAAACTCGGCATTTGCGTAAGCGTTACAAATTTTGGTTCAACTCACTTAAAAGGTAAAACTTGAAGGCCAACTATAACGTATGAACGTTTAGTCTTCATGAATGAGATTCGAATAAATATATATATTTTTTATTAAATTGACGTAATACACTTATTTATTTCCAGAATTACACGCAATCGGTTTGACATAATATGACAAAATGTCGTTTTTTTCACAAAATAAGAAATTAATCAGTACATTAAAATTCAGGTATTTTTTATTACATATTACAATTTTGTTTCCATGGAAAATAATATAACTTCAGAAATTATAGAACATTATAGTTTAATCTGAAAACAAATAATAACTAATTAGTTTATTGTTGTAATTATTATGAAGCGATATCAATTGATTTTAATGGGTTATTGTATGCACCTGATGAGGCTATTATTATTTCATCAATTCAAGACTTTTTTAACTTTTAATATTCTGGACGTGATAAATAACTTGTCGAGTCATTGTTGCTTGTTTAGATATAATATAAACAATTGATTTCTTGCAAATGTGAGCCTTATTATAATAGGAGTAAATACTCCTAAAAAGGAGGTAAATTAAGTTAATTATTTAAAGGAAAGAATAATTTGATAGTAATAATTAGACGAAAATTTAGAATGTGGTAATTAAAAATGTAATGTATTTGTTACAATAGAGGTTACATACATTAAAAGTAATTATAAAAATGCTAGAAACTTAATATATAGACCTGACGTCCGTGAAATAAATGTCATTGTATTTTTTTATATTTTACGCATCATTTATTATTGTTAGAATAATTTTATTTATTATTTCAAATAAAATAAATTTAAATAAATGATGAGCGCTTTTCCTAAAAATATTTTTCCTATTTTCGGAAACTTCAAGGTGAACACATCTGAGCTAGCAAGAGGTCAAATTGTTGCCACACAGCTCTATCAAGGTATCTCCCTATAAAAAAATACTAATAAATCTGAATTAAGGAAACTAAACCGCACGGAAATTGAATAGATATTTAAATTGACTGCATATGAAGTAATCAAGTAATGGTAGTTTTAGGTAAAATGTTGCAATAATGAGTGAGCAACTAGCCCAAAATATCCACTTGAAACTTAATTAATTGATTGCATTTTCCTGTATTTTGGTGTAAATTAGCATTAATTTGCATTGAATGTCGGTGTACCAAAACTAAGGGGAGAGATTTGAACTAGGAATTGATAAATTTTCTAAGAAGTGGGGATATTACAAATTAGTTTTATAGACTCTTCTAACCTCGTGTGTTGTGGTCCACTGTCATGAACATAATACACTCAACCTTGTCGCTGTCTTAAGAATATTTGTTTATTTAACAAAAGTGACTAATCCAAAATGACTATTTACGGCAAATTAGTACAAATTATATTAGTGAATTATTTTCAGTGAAGTAAGTGCTGGTTTTAGTGATATATTTAAGTTAAATGTTTCTGTTTCAGAAAAATGTGCTCGGGTGCTGTGATGAATCTCAATTAAATCTCCATGTATTTAATTAAGTATGAAATTATAATTTTTAAGTGACCCATGTGAATAAAATTTAATAACTTAAATTTGCTTTTTTACAAAAAACCTGTGACGCAATTATCACTCCTACGCTGACTAAATGCGTAAACAATTTTTTTTATGGTTACATCCCATAATTTGTTGTTTTATGGGATTTGCATATTGGTTTATTGTAATTATAATTAATTATAGGTGAAGGCTGACATCTATACGAGTATTTGTTCTATAACTACAATTATTTGAAAAAAATAAAGTCTGTTGAACTTTTAAAAGATTGGATAGTGAAAGTATGTTTTTTATTCCTACATATAAAAAACTAATCGTACTATGTGTAATTTTGTGTCAGTAAGAGGGAACTAATTGCTAAATTTGCACAAGCATTTAACTTAATTAGAAAAATCAAATTCGCAAAATAGTATTTGCTTAAACTTGACATTGGTCGCTTCAAATTGCATATGTAAATTAAAGAAAATGTTACTACACAAAGGTAAAACTGAGCAAGTTATTACGTAAATGCACTAGTTTTAATTATTTTTGTTTTACGTTAAATATTTTTTACCTATTATTTTCCCCTCAAGCTTGTTATTGCAAATGAAATGTCTAGTTGCTATGAAACTAAAAATTTATAAAGTAAAAGTAGCTGAAACGATAGATTATAGATGAAAGTGTTATAATTATCTGAACTAGCAAGCATAGGCAGGTTTGTTGGGTGTGGAAAGTATGACTTCTCTCTTCAATTTTTAAAGTAATGTTTCTGTGAGAGAATTTGTATTTTTAGTTTTGGATAAAATAATTGCAGGTTGTACCTATCTTATGAAGAGTTACTTTCTAGATAATTTTTACATAATGTATGGAAAAACACGACGTGCAAGAAGGTGTAAAAATAATCATAGTGAATGTTACTACAGAGATAATATTATCACTGAAAGGGAAGAGTCGGTGAGAGATTTATCACAGTTACATAATTAGTCAACTACACCAAATTTTTCAAAAGTTTTATTACATAAGGGCTTTTGTTGCAAAGGTATTATGAGGCTTTTTACCTCAATTATTAAATTAGTTATGGTTTCGACTGGAACAAGATTTTTTCTTGTTTATTTATTAGTTGAAAGTATGTGTTGCATATACATGATCTATCGGTAGTAACTCTTGCCCAATATTTTTCCCATTACCGTAAAATGTTAAACATAATGAATGATAATATTCATAATAGCAACTCATCAGACAATGGGAGTTTAATAGACCTATTCAGTTTCTTCTGAGGTACCTACTCTCATTTCTTGAAAAATGACAAACATTATTTCTTTTTGTTTTTCAGATTGTATAGCTGAACTGAATTGACAGTACTTTGTTACCTAAATAAAATAAAATCACTTCCGTGAGAGTTGGGTACCATAGGAAAAACTGCATATTGGAAAATTACTGTTATTGCATCCTCGAAAATTACATACTTATCATTACAACACCACAAATGTTAATTAATTCGTATTACATGTATATAACATCTCATTTTTTATCTAAAAAAAAATATTCGGGTTACAAATGACCATGTCATAAATTTGAATGCATTCACTTTTCGTTTTTTTTTTTTTGATTATGTGGGGAAAATGATGAAACAATTGCATATTAATTAGTATTCGAGTATAGATTTAGTTTGATATAGATAGTATGAATGCAATTAACATACTTTTTACATAATCGTTGCAACCTGGAATTTTTTGTATTGCCAAAACTCTAATAGAAAACTAGGATTTAAATTTGGTGCATAAAATGTTTATAGGAACGGGAAGCGAGATTTTGACTCAAATATTAAAAGCTCTAAATTCGATCATTTGCACTCTTATCAGATTGTGACGCTGTCAAATGTCAAATTCTGCTACTGTCAGATTCTATATTTTCGCCTGCGCAATAGTCCCATAATGTTATTATTACCGTTTTTGTTAGTTATGGAAGAGTAAAAAAGATAGTATCTATAAAAATTGTCATTTTGTTATTTACTTTTGATTTTAAAACCATAAAAACTTTTATTTACGTCAAATGCCACCATAACCTCACTTTTGAAAATGATTTCTTTTGAAAAAATCACATTTGCTGTTGTTTTTTTTCTTGTCAATGTCAAATAAATTTCAATGTGACATAATTTGCATCTAAATCGGGTTTTTACTAAAAATAGACCATGTTACCTGAAGATACTTTTGCAATTTGTGATACATTTCGTGATGAAGATTGTCTCAAGAATGGGGAGAAAGAAATCCATTCAAAAGTCAACGGATATCGAAATAATACATGTGTGATTATAACAGTAAGTGTGGCATTTTTTAATTCATGAAATAACACAAGTTTTGCAGAATTCGTGCTACACTTGTAATGGGTATTATGGACCATGCTTTGAGGACCCAGTGTGTTCAACTTGTCATGCTTTTTTGTTCCCCAATACTGCCCCAATTATGGATAGGCCCTTAACATTGGAAGTATGACACAGTTTTGGTCTTTTTTATACAAAAGTTTGTATGTGGAAAATTTCTTGTGATTGTAGAGATCCAGTGACAGCGATTCTGGTAATGACGAGCCTGTAGATTGTAACAGTCAAGAAAGTATGCCGAATGTACCCATTTACGAGGAATTGGTTGGCAAAATGGCCCCTGTGAGGGTGGATACTCTCGCAAAAGAATTACAAAGACTTTCAAATGTCAGTCATCACGTAACTGACATGAATCTCGAACTATTTCCACCTGAAGGTTTATTTTCTGCTGTAATTTACCACACTTTGCTTACATCTTAATTGTAGTTCTTATGCATATGTTTAAATATTTAGATGAAATTTCTTTATGGAGTATAGGACAAGTTTGTAGTCGGTGGAGGGAGATACTTTTTATGTGTGTGAAATTCGAGCGTTGGAAAGATTTTGTGCATTTAAGATGGCCGTTATTGCATATAGAAAATGACGAACAAGACTGGTATGAAGTAAGTTGTTTTGTTAGTTTGTATTTCGCCGTTTAATACTGTTTTGTAGCTTTATACAGCTATGATGCTTAGTTCGTGTTGTTTAAAATGTGTCAAACAAATGGCTGCTCAAAAATTACCCTCACATTGGGAGGATAGTTCATGGAGGCGGCACCGCTTAAGAACTGAGATTAAAGCAATGAGGAATGATCCTTTAGATGGGATTGATGCTATGCCACTAGATGCTAATTGTTGTCATTGGCAAGCGACGATAGAAGGACCAGCAGGTAGTCCTTACGAAGGCGGATTATTCTTTCTCTACATACAAGTACCAACAACATATCCATTAGATCCGCCAATTGTTAGGTTTATCACGAAAATATTTCATCCAAATGTTTCAAGACATGGAGATATTGGTATTGATTCAATTCATCATAACTGGTCATTAGCTCTTACAATTAGCAAATTGTTGATTTCGATACAGTCACTTCTTACCGATCCTTTTTGTGATGTATGTTTTTCTTACTTAACTTTTTAGAGATTCATTACTTTTATTTAATTTCAGGTTTGTATGGAGCCCGAAATAGGAAATATGTATTTGAAAAACAGAAAGGCATTTGAAGAACAAGCAAAATTGTGGACTGCCCATCATGCCATGCATGATATGTTGCCACACTGAATATTAATTTTTTTGTCTCTTACATTTTTTACCTAAAATGTATTTTCAAAATTATGAGTGATACTGATATCTTGTTTATTGCATTATAAAATTGTTTGTAATTAATTTTGTGTAAATCAATAAATCTGTTTTATAAATTGAGTTTTATTGACTTATTAATGGAGGTGTAATTAATTTTGCAATTTTTACGTGGTCGTATTTTATCTGAACAAGTATGTTTTGAACAGTTTTTGGTAATTACTAAAAATTACAAATATCCTAAAAAGCTAAGTTCCAAAAGATACCTGTAGGATGATAAATGCCAGCGCCATCTACTGTTCGATATGTGCCATTAATAGATTTAAAAGTGGCAAGTAAAATTTAAATCAAGACTAAAATAATCCAAATTAAGTTGTTACTTACTTTACATTGCCAAACATTAAATTAATCTCGAATTAAAATTTGATCGCAATTAAGAATCGCCTCACAGGGTACTTTTGTTCAAAATGAATATGTAAAATTTGTTTAAAAATAAAATTGTGTTTGAGGCTACACCACTGTTTTTCTCAATTCCTTGGGATGCGCCAGACTTCTCCAACTTATACTGCGTCAATTGTACGAGTACTTATTTTTGTTGTACTCAAAAATCACAAATCACACACACTTTACTTTGCGATAGACAAAAAAATAAAAAAAACTAAAATGCACTCAGTCTATGGCATCTTCTTCTAGTAAAATTATTATTAAAGTAAATTTGAACTTGCCTTCTAGAAATTTTGAAAAAGAATTTGAGAAATAATACATTTTATCTAAAACACAACTAATTTCTATTCATAATTTAATAAATACTTACTGTTGAACTCAAAAATTACAAATTCACACACTTCACTTTGCGATAAACAGTAAAATAAAAAATTAAAATACACTCACCTTACATCTTCTTCTGCTACCTACCCTTTGTAGCAATTTGTCGCTGCTTTAAAAACGGACCTACTGAAAATAAAGAAATACAAAATCAGTTCAATGTGTTATTAAATAAGTTTCAAAATATTAAATAAAATTTAAATGTTTCTAAAAAATTAAGAGATAGTAAAGGTACTGTTGACTTACCCTTTAATTCGGATCTTTGTAGTACGATTGTCTTCTCTATTCCCCTATTGGCACTCATTAATCACTCAAAATTTAAAAATCGCGCATTACAAAATGTCTATTAGGCACTAGAAAATACCCAACACGCACGCACTTATAATATAGCCCCCATCTCCATTTCTACACAATTTCGTACTCAAGCACAAAATAAGTAATAACTCGTACGGAAGCTTGGCTAAGACTGACTTGTTATTGTAATAATTTCCTCAAAAACAACATGATCCACAAAAACTTAGTTCGTAACAGTTTCGTTATAAAAGGTCTTTGTTTGGGACTGCGTAATCTCTCCATTCGTAACATCAAAAAATTTTAATTTGCCATTAATTAATTTAAAAAAGACGAAATAAAATTTCATTCAGGACTAAACAAATCTTCGGATTTGTTTTAGTTGTCAGTTTCTTTACATTTTCACACATCAAATTAATAGCGAGTTAAAATTTGATTGCAATCAAGAATAAATACTTTTTCAAAATGAAAATGTGAAATTTGTTTAAAACACAAATGTGTTTAAGGCTACGCCACTGTTGGGGGGTTGCAGAGTTACTCCCTCGGATACGCCCGACCTCGCCAACTTACCCCGTCAACTGTACTCTTCTAGTAAAATAGAATAGACAATAAAATAAAATAACAGAATTAAATTATTTAAATCCTGCGCTGTTTTTGAATCTAGAATCTAGTTTACGCTTAAGAAGTGTTTAATATTTTCTTCGAATGCTGAATATAAGCACATCTCTTTCGTTGTTCTCTTCTGGTTTTCCTATAAAGACTCGAAATAAACTGCAGTTAACTTTGCGGAAAGATGATAATGTCTGTAACAACAAGCAATGAATATTTATACATATAGTACAAACCAGAATAAAGATAGCATTTACGTAGTGTTTCAAACTTAGAAAAGAAAAGTAAATTTTATATAAAATGCGTTCATTGTGATGAATATTGCGTAATAATAAATTTTATGAAACATTAAATGTAATTATTCTGGGAATTACGCTCTACCATATTGTTATGAAACGTGATTCAAGTTGAAACATTACTTGGCCAAAAAATAATTAAAAACTGGCCATGAATGCAAATGCATTATTTTGACGAAAAAATGGTCAATTTTAATTGTAAATTATAACCGCTGATACTGTGCAACTGATATTTTTGATTATAATGGGTACATAAATCACAAGCTTAAATATTCTTTTTGCTAATAAAGTAATAAATAACCCGTATAAGCCGTAAGCTTTGTCACATGCTGTACACAACAGTGTCATTGTTCTAAGATCATTTGCAAGTAAATTAAAGATTTCTTTCCCAATGTCTACTTGCTTTTTGTTTTCTGCATTCTGATTTTGCATAAATCCATAAACATCACCTTTAACAAGGTGCATAAAACACCATTGTCCATAAACCTTTCAAAGTAACATTTGTGCCACACCAGTGGAATGACGAGGTGAAAATAAAACCTCCAAAACTTAATAAAGCTTCTATCACACACATTTAGTTTGCTCAGTCGCATCCTGGCTTAAATGGCTTTTCACCAGGAAATTCCAACATAGGTAGTAGCTGCATGCTGGCAAGTGATACGCCTCTTCATATACTTTGTAAATGCTCAAAGAAGCCAGGTTATGCATAAATAGAATGTTTCTTTATAGATGCACAACTCAAAATTTAATACAAACCCTGAAAGTGTAAAAATATAAATGTACCTATGTACTTGTAACCTACAAATGCAGGAATGCAAAATATAAACTTAGAATCAATTGTTACAAACTTTTAGAGACTTTAAGCCAATATAAATTTAGCCAATATAAAAAAAAAATGTAAAAACAAAGAGGAATTGAGTCGAAAGCATCTGTTAATCAGTTTTAATTGAGTGCTTATATATATATCTGTGAGTTGAGACACCCTTTAGTCAAATTATTGCGCCTTGTAGTTGGTGTATTATATTACGTTTTAATTCCTAATGAGAGGGGTGTTTAATCGCATAGTGACTTGTAAAATTACCATTTCGCGTAATTTCGGTTTGATTAATTATTCGTCGGGAGACGTGTTGTTGTGGTTGCGTAAATTTAAGCTTTCTTTCTATGAAGTGATTTCACTTTAATGAAAAAAAGGGTAGAAATTATGTTTTGTACCCTTGATTTTAATTTTCTACGTAGCGTGCGAGACCTAATCTGCGTACGTACGTTTTTAGTGTTATCGGCTGTTTTATCAAAAAAGCGGCTTGACGAAGCCAACTTGATTTAAACTTGACGGTTTTGCAGTGTAATTTTTATTATAAATTTCATTATTCTTCCTCTCTTTCCTTTATTAGCTTCCCAAATGTTTTCGGAGTTGTTCCTCCCTTAATTGAATTTTGTAAATGATTTATATTTTCGACATAAGCCACCTTCTCGGAATGTTCCTATTATTTCCCTAATCTTTCACGAATTTTCCCGATTTGTTTTGTTTACTTAATTCGTAATTGGAATGCTTCTTGTCACAGAGAACAACACGTTTCAAAATGATATTTGTTTTTTTCCATTTTTTTGATATTCAGTGTGGAAAAGTGATGAAAAGAGAATATCTCTTTTAAACAAAAGGGAGCATCATATAATTAAACACTGATGTCGTCACAGTGGAGCTATCTGCTCGTTATTTTTATACTACAATTCCTGGGAAATTGGGTTTTCATTCTTGTGCTTTGATAGATAAATTAATGACATTTTTTGTATAGGCTAAGACATGTGTCAATATTATCAATTATAATAAATTACCCCCGATTTCGTACCTGAAAAGCACAACGTGATGTGGGATATTAAACTTAGATTATATCATCAATTTACAAATTCATTATTACTTAATCCATCTTGTCGCTTCATCGTGATCTATATACAGAATTCAATACATAAATAAGTACAGGACTGACCATCGTTAATATTTCTTCTGAAACTTAACTAAGACACAAATCAATGCTTTTTGATTTGTGAAAGCATAAGCGCGATCAATAAATTCCACAATTTTGCGTACTTAGTGTGTAACTTTACGTTTCGTGCGTTTTATTTGATGAAAATCATTTAGAATTATGCTCACTGTTATTTAAGTGGAGTATAAATGTTGCGGAATTTATTTAAAAATAAAGGAAACTTCCAGTGGTGACCGTATCGCCTGAAATATATTGTGGTTAGCGACCAAACCAGATGTGATCTCTTAGTTTCTATCGAGTTTAACAAAAAGTCACTGCTTCCAAATAAGTGGCAAATTTGTTAGCTTAAAGATCAACATTTCGCTTACAAACAAAAAGATAAAGACTGTAATGCAATTTAGAATAAGATCTATTGTATCGCACATTTTCTGCTGTTTTTAAAATCATCGTTTCGTCAAGTAGATAATAAATGCGGTTAATAGCAAATAAAGTTTCTCTGTTTCTATTTTAGTTACAGCCGCCAGACTTATCGATTAGTCATTAAGATTGTAATTTTGAGATTTTCGTTTATTGTTACAGACGTGAACATTAAAATTATTTTACTTGTGATAATATAAATTACCTGAAAAAAAATACATTGAATTAGTTTGGCTTTGTTATAGTTTAATTAATATCGAGCAAGAGGGAAAGTTTGTGATTTTTTTTATAATCACTTATTATATTTCAATAAAACATTTGTTTGTGTTCCAATTTCTAGCTTATTTGTTTTTTTTTGATGTTACTCTAATAAATAAAACGTTTAGAAGCAAATTAGTGTCTACTACATAATTTTATTATGGGTCTTCCATTATTAGATTGCTTCTATTTTCTTAGACGTTGAATGGAAATAAAAAACGTAATATGTGTTGTTTATTGGGCTATAAATGAGGATAAAGTATGGTTGTAACATTTGAAAAAATTGCCTTGATCGTCTTTCAAATATTTTGATATTGTTTGAAAAGATTTATGAAATATTTAATCTGTGTTCACATATTTTCATTCTCTTACGGTTTTTCATTAACAAACATTTTCTGTTAAAAGGTCGGAGACCCTCGCTTGTCGGGTATTGTGTCTTAAATTCATGACATTTTTTACATTTTTGCTATTCTTCAGATAAATTGATAACAAAAAACTGTCTGCTATGTTTTTATTTACATAGGGGTGCATTGGTGACACATTTTCGTGTGAACTGAATGTGAATAAAAGAAAACATTTCACCGTTTTTAAAATACTTTTCCAAGCCTTACAAAAACTTTTCAACTACAAACGAGACGATAAACATGTTTTTCGAGCTTGTCTGTTTACACTAAACATTTTTTGGTTTTATGTTTATTTTTAACTTTGGCCACAATTTGCCTAGTTTTGCTATTATAGAAAAAGAAGATTATGTTTGTATTTTCGCGGTAATAGCTCTATAGGGAGTGTTTGGGTACGTGAGATCACTTGTAAGTTTTGTGTGTTTTCATTTCTTATGGATTTAGTTTTTTACGCTACAGAAAACCACTTGGCATTTGTAGTGCCTATGCATACAAAAGATTACTAAACGAAAAAACTTGTTTTTTTTTGCTACAAAAATGTCGTAAAAGACCCAAATTTTTAGCAAACTTTAAATCTGTCAAATAAATTTGTCTGATATCACTTCTCGTCAGAGTACTTAAGTGTCTGTCGTAAATGTTACAGCAGAAATAGGATTATTACCGTAACGAAAATTGTAATAAAAGAATCAAATAGCAAATGCTGGCTTTTAGTAAAACTTAAAGAAGATGAATTTTTAGATGTTTTATGAATAATGCATTTAAATCAACATTTATATTAAAAAAGGCAGTAAAAGTGTAAAACTTCGGACAAGCTTAATGTCATAGATAGATGTTCCGGTTTTTTCGAGTCAGAATAAAACTCTAAATGTGTAAAAACCCTACATTTGTCCGTGTCACAAGATAATTTATAATTTTTAATAAAATATGTATTTTGTAATTTATTTTTTGATTTGCCGTAGATATTTTAAATTATTGAAATAAATCATTTTTACTGATTATCCAACAGATTATATATAGCACAATAAATGTTTATTTGTGCAGAAATAAATAATTTTTGATGAAATATGCTGATGATTTTAATTTTTTTATCATACATCTCGTTAATTATTTAGGTATATTATTTATAAAAGTATGTTGTCACCTAATTTTGTTTTTGTTTTTTGGCACTGAATTGTTAGTTGTCATTATTTTTTTATATAAAAACGATGCAATATTAGAGAATCAATTTACATTAAATCAATATATTTTTTTAACTGAACAATATTGGTGGATGCGCCGGGTTGAAAATAAAATTACAGAGACTTGTAATATGTATTACTGCAAATATTTAACTGAACGTTTGATTTTGCCTTCAAAATAAATATTTGAATTTTTTACTTTATTAGTATAATTATGGTAATAGTTGGTGTGTGCGAAAGAGTGATTTTTTGTGATGAATTTTTTGTTGAAGTTCTACTAATGCATGTTGTATGTTTCTTGCATGACGTTAATATTTGGTTGAGATAGAGCAAAATGCATCGGCAAGGTACTTTCATATCAATTTTATTGATAAGACGTTTGCAGTAGTATTCGTGTATAGCAGATAAGTGATTTATTGCGTCTTTGTGGGAGAGTTATAAGTCGGTGAAAAACAAACCCCCGCGGAGTAGTAAGACATTTCACTGAATTTAAATTGGTTGAAAGAAAAAGCTTTGATTTAATTTGGTGTCATTATTCAGGGTATTCTTTAGGTGATTTACATCAGTGTCTTATCATTTCCATTTTCCAATATTTGGCGTTAATTAGATCAGTTATGAAGAACAGAAAAAGATCCTCAGAAACGTGAATACTTTGGGCCTTACGCATCGGCGCAACAGGTCCAACTCGGGGGTGGAAAGGCCTAGACGTCGCCGTTCTGTCTGCCATGTAACTTGACCAAGTCTTTGCCAGTTACAAATCTAAAAGTACAAGAACATTTTCGTTATAGATGGGAATTTGAGTGACAAGAGGCAGACGCGTGCGCCGTTGTCGCATCTTATAACCAGGTGGCGCGCTCGCAAATCCCTGCATCCTGGAGCCACCCCCGCGACAATTCCAGTTCTCTGTCGGCCTTGCAATCGCTCGGACGCGCCACCTCCAACCTTTAAACGCGTCCAAATCACGCAGCGATTTGCGGACTTGTCACAAAATATTTTCCGAGAGAGGACGGACTTTGTTCGAGCTTTAATGGCCATTGTAAAATAGTTTAAAGGAGTTTCCTTGACTTTTATCTGTGTTGATGTTAAATCTCTAATTGTCTAATATGTAAATAATGGTTGTTTCGATTAGACGTAGCATGAAGTTATTTTTATTGTTATTGTTGTTGTTTGAGTTGGAAGCGCAAAATGTTGTTAATTTGGACAATATAAGGCATAGTCGGTCTCGGACGCTCTTGTTGAGAGGACGACGTCATGGAGATGATGTTCGGGAAGATTTCACTTCTGATGATGTCCTCGAGGTTACTTCGGTAACAGAAAGCTTGTTTTTTGGTGGTGATTTTGGAAAAAATCGGACTAATCTGTCTGTGGAAGACCCTCAGACAAGTAAATCGAGCGCGAGGAAGGTGACTGTTGGGTCGAATTTCAACGTTCATGGAAACAGCAGTTGGCAGCATGTGGATAAGAGCATGTTGTACATGGGCGAGCGGGCGCTTAATCAATTCGATAATAAAAAGAAAAATAAGACAGTGAGTGGTAAAGAGAGCCCCGGAGGGTCACCCATAAACGTGCATCAAGATTTTGACGAAGATTTGGAAATATCATCGGAAAAGGCAGCCGCTGAAAGTGCTCGTAGCGGCCACGTAGACATCGTTACTCGTTTTTTACGCATCGTGGAATCCCAGCATTTGTTGGGAGAAAACTGTACGGCCGGCACGGACTTGAATTTGGGCGAAGGAGTTGTAGATCGTTATGCACAAGAAAGATTTCGTGTGGAGGCAGACGTGGCCGTAAATAGGGCTAATATGTTGACTCGGCTGTGGAAATACGCCGATCCTGATGTTGTTATGTCTGAGTATTTATTACACGCATCTGTTTTTTCCATGGTTGAATTCGATAATGACATCTTTGCTGCGGGAAACTGCTATGACCAGTATCAGTACAAAGACTATTGGCTATTCTGCCCGTACGCTTATCGGCTGCCCGAAGGGACAATCCTTGTGAAAGATTTGGCCGTCGAGTACAAATATCTCAGCAACACATCGGAATGGTTCTACATCGCCCGAAAAAATGCAGAGAACGTTATCAAAAACTACAATCAGTTTAGTAGAGGTAAGTCTCATATTATCTTATTAGAGCGGACCGTTAAACCTCCGGTATATTGGATTTTCCAGGAAATTTTATTCTAGTTTTTGAAGAAACGAACTTTTTTTAATCTAAACGAAATTATTTTATCACTGATGATAACTCACTCTTAATGTCCCAAAAGATTTGACCTGATGTCGTTCAGTTGTCCGGAGATCAATATAAGGACCGGCTTACTGTGAGTTACAGTTACGTCCTATTTGGATTTTATTGTAATCGACACCGATAATATTATATTTTGCTTCCGCCAAAATTACTTTAGCAAATTGTATTTTTGGCACACTTGACCTACAATTCCGACTCTTTTTGGGCTATCTTTAAATTCATAAAATGTGAATGACATTATCATCAGCAGGGATTCCCAATTTTTTCTTTAATCTTGAGCGAAAATATGTTTACTCTGAAGAGAAGCCTAAAAAGACAATTTGTAAGTGATGCCAGGTAAACAACATTCTGCCATTATTAAGCAAAAGCAAAACACTGATGTATCAATGATTCAAGTTGTTTGTGTGCCAAATAAGAATATGAACAAAAGTAATAAATTCGGTACTCTCACAAACAAACTGTTTTAAAATATATTATCTATTTCGACTTGCACATGAAAATTTCTGTAATACAGTTGCAGAATTGATAGCTCGACTGCAAAATGTTTTCTGGTGTGCTTTACTTTACGCAAGGTTTTTTGCACAATTACGATTTCACTTCTCGACTGCTATTTTTAATTTTATAATAGCACAATTTACTAAATCAAACCAATTTATGTGGACGGAATAAAATCTAGCACATGAGCTTCACAAATGGACGAATAAAATTTTAATGTTTTTGCATTGCTTTTAATTATTGAGTGAAACAAATGTGCATTTAGTTTTTGGTTTTAAAAAACATTTTAATGTACAGTGGTTTCAAGCTAATAAATATAAACTGTACCACGGGGTATTACACTTGTAGCAGATGGATTTTCTTTTATAGTCGTTCGCATGTGTATAATCGAAATTCAAATTCGGATGGAAATTTGGGCTTTAGTAACGATTTTCTTATGCAGAAAGCTTCGCATCTATATTCATTTGATGAGAAAAGTGAACTCGCGTTAGGCCTAATGACAATAACAAGGGAATTTTCGAATCGACTCAAATTCCAAGCAATATAAGTTACAAAATTAATCGTTAGTTCCTTAATAATCTTTAAATCAATACGGGCTATATATAATTTTGAATTAAAATTGGCATATTGGCTTATTCAAACTGAATTTAGAACTTATGTGATTCCGCTTAAAATGGTTTATCGGTAAATTATGTGGGTTATATTTGTTTGCTTGTAGTTAGCCTTTTTTCAAACTCTAGATACTTTTTTAAGTTATTTAAAAAGTGGAATTAGCGGTCCAGTTATTCCAATAACATATTTTTTGAAAGTTTAGAATAAATCAACGTAATACAAATCCAAACAAAACGTAAAAATAGAACTTTTTCAATTTAAAAAGAGTTAGATATTTGAGTTTCTCTAGTTGTTTATTCAGCCTGAAAAATATAAGCTGCTGGAACAATTTTGTATAAATATTAGAGATAATCGTAGATTTTTTTAACAGAGAAGCATTTTCTGATTTAGGGAAACCTTAGGATATAACAATCTTGTAAGTAAAAGGATCAACTTAATTGAAAAATGCAATAATCTAATAATGAGCATTTACAAAAATTTTCATATTTTAAATTCCACGACGAAACCATTCAACCGCTGTATGCGTAGCACATGGCATTTCTTCCGCTTGATCTAATAATTATTGGAGAAATTTATAGGCTCGTGTTTATAGCTTTAAGCATATGGAAATCGGTACGAACAAATTGCGATGAAATCGAAATCAGATAACAGTTAGGTCATTATTTTAAATCGTAATCATCTTTCTCCACACGTGAGCTTTAACCACAAAAAACGGATTGATAAATCGTTTTGATGTTTTTAAGAAACTACTTTAAAAGTTAGCGTTTTGGTGGATGCGCCGGGATACTTTTAAACTCTTAACATTTTTAATTACTTCGGAAAGTGTGGTAAAATGTATTGAAACAATAAAAGCAAATTTCGAATTTTTAGCAGCAGCTTTGGGAAAACTGTGCCACGAATAAATTATTTTGCGTGCCTTATGTATTGACTTTACAATCAGTGATTTTGTGGTTTAGCTAGTGTAGAGCACGTTTAAAATAATTTTCTAATTTGTAGCACAGTCAAAAACTGATACAAGACCAGCCTTTAAGCACGTAATTTGTTAGTCTAAAGTTGTATTTTATTATGTTGATGTATGTAAGCCGGCTCTAAGAGTTAGTTTAAGTTAATGTAAAGTAAAATCAGGAACAATAAAACGCAAGTTCTTTACAAGACTGATTTATAACTTAATTTTGTGCTTTAAATTTATAATTTATAAAGCAAAATGTTTTATTAAAGGTAATATTTATTTTTTTCGGAAGCGCAAGCTTTTATTAAATTATAGTTCATTTTTGAAACACTCAAAGGGGTTAACATTGACGCCATAAAAATATATAAATTACAACCCTTTTTGTTTCCACTTAGCAAAATAATTGAAAACATTAATTATAATGGTATAACGCGACTATTTTAATAGGATTATTGACCCTTTGTCATCCCTAACGGAAAGCACGTTATTATTACATTGGTGCGTTTTTTATGTTATTTTATTGTAATATTGGAGTAAATTTTATATGCTTACAATATGTAGAAATGGATATAGATTTTGGTGGTGTAAAATTTACTTTAGATTTGTTTTCGTTGTTTAATATTTATACTATACAAATAACGCTTACTAGATAATAATAAAACTAATGTAGTAGTTTGTAAGCACATATCCAAACGTACACAAATAATACTAATTGTGTTACAAGTCTCATTTCGTCTGCGAAAACAGTATTTGAATTAAGCTTGCATCAATATTATTAAAGATATCAAATAATTTCTTATCTTTAAGAATACTGATGCAAGTTTATTGTTATGTTAGAACACCTGCTGTTAAACATACAAAAGACATATGAGACAACAAGTATGTAAGAGCATTTAAATGGTTAAGTGGAACGCTTTTCATTTTCTGAGTATAGAGAAAAATTTAATATAATATTTTTTTTATAAAGTTTGTTCGTTTTTACATTAAAGAAAAAAATTGGGTAAATATAGTGAATGGCAGTTGGAATTAAATTTCATTTTTGATGTTCTAACTGTGGGACGATTTCAATCTTTAATACGATCTGGTAAACATAATCTTTTGGGATAAATTTTATTCCCAGCAAGATTTTAATTTTTTGATGCGGTTAGAATTTGAATTTGTAGCGGTTCTTGTCCAATATTAATCAGAATTTCGTTTTAGACCTAGTTTTGGAAACATGTCCAGCTGACATTTGAAGTGAAATATTTTGCTTTCGTTTAAATTTATTGTTTTTTTAATCAATAAAGCAGCTTGCGTAGATAGGAATCTTTGTTCGGGGTCAGAGAGCTTTAAAAGAAAAAAAACATGCAATGCAAATCACACATTAAAATGCAAAGTAGCAACTTTTCTAAGTTATAAACACGTTAGAGGCAATTTTTTCTTTGTTAAGTTAATAATTCAATTTACGTTTGTTCGGAAGGAAAAAATTCATTTCATGTAGACAAAATTTGCATTAATGCTAGTTAAGTAAGAATAATTATGACGGAAATCTGGTACAATTTATGAATCTAAATTGCAAATTGTGGTTATGACGATAATGCTACTGTTCAAGAAATTTTCACTTTTAATTAAAGCTTTATGATTTTGTAATTCGTATTTTAAATATCTGTAGAAATATTTTTTTGTCGAGATAAAGTCACGTGTCTTACGTTTCGTAGCTTCAATTTTCAACTTTTCACTATTTGCAACCTGATATCTCTGGGAAATTTATAACGCAGGTATTGGTTGGAAAGAAATATGACACGGTGACGTATGATACAATAGAATATGTGGAAACTTGGAAGTTTTTTATATTTATTACCTCATTTTATTTACGAAAACAAATATCAAAACATTTTTCATTTATTTTTAAATATACTTGACTTTGTGTTAGTAAATGAGTGAATGTAGGACATAAAAGGCATGTGCACAGCTAGATGTTAATAGTAGCAGCGGCATAAGACATAATGACGTTAATGAAGCCGACTTTATATCTATGCGCAAACTTCCACCTGTTACACAAAGAAATAAAAATACACTGTCACATTATAGTGTATCAAAATGTAGCCCATTACTCGCTAACTCATCCATTTATTAAAAATGGGACAAGTGTTCACAACCCCGATCCAAACATTTAAAATTTTGTAATCAAAATGATGCTGATTTGCAAGTCAAATTTTTTAATACGTTTTTCAATTTACTAATTTCGTTGAACTTCCCGTTGTTTTATTAAAGATATGACATTAAGTTAGTTTGCACAAATTTTCTAGTGGAAGGTGTAAATTTACCGGCCACCATATGCACTTAATATATATGAGGGTGACAACAATTCATAACCGAAATTTTCAACTTTTCGTATTTATGTGCGGTGGGAATCGTAAAATAAAAATTTAATCATCTTTGCTATTGTGGACAATAAAATCTTAAACAACACTCTAAAAACTTTGATTCTAAACCCACTTTGCTACAATAACTACTTAATAACTCAATAAAAGAATTTCGTCATTGTGCTCATTGAATTTTTCTAATTACGTTTAAACTTTTATTACGAAATTAAATTATATTTTGTTGGAACACATTCAAAACTAAGTTTTTAGTGTGCGCTCTATGTGACTTTAATTGGATTTATACGATTACAGCGGAAATAAAGTACTTTCAAAACTTGTTCGTCGCAGATTTATCACAGTTTATTTTTCAGGGAAATTTTATTCATCACATTTTTGGCTGATACAATTAAGTAGTCAATTAGTTTTTTTTATTTTTAAAGGTTTGAAAATGACCGAAAACT